GCCCTTAGGAACATTAGACAGCACTTCAGCATGGTTATGGACTAATTCTATCCACCAAAATTTACATGTTGAAACCCTAATCCCTGGTGTGACTGTATTTGGAGATGAAGGAAGAGTAAAGACCACAATCTCCGAGTAGAAGGTGCTTAATGACCGAAGACTTTACTCTGGGTCCACTTAGCTGGGTGGTTTTATTGGGAAACTCTGGATGTCAGTGTCATTAGATCTTTTTCAGTGAGGTTATTTGATAAGATTCTTTTTGATATGATGAATCTCTCCCAATATTCTGCCTGAAAATATCATGAATACTCTATCTGATTTCTGCAAACTAGGTGGGGGAAGAGCCTCGTGGCAACAATCATCAGAAATGTTGTCTTTGATCTCTCTGTTTTTAATTATGCTACGTTTTCTTCCTTCTGTTCTCTTTGTCCTTGTGGTTGGTGTCTTTTCTTTTTTTAAGCTTAATGTTATTTTTGTTGGGTTTCAGAAGAGAGTAAAGGCTAACACATGAGTTAAGCTGCTACCCTTAACTAGAAACTGCCCAGTCTTACCATCACTCCTTCCCTGTTCTCAGCTTGAAAGCAGCTCCCAGGTGGCGCTAGTGGTAAGTGGCACTTACCAATTCAGGAGATGGAAGAGACAAGAGTTCAATCCCTGGGTCAGGAAGATTCCCTGGAGAAGAGCATGGTAACCCACTCCAGTATTTTTGCCTGGAGAATTTCATGGACAGAGGAACCTTGTGGGCTATGGGCCATAGGGTCACAAAGGGTCGGACACGACTTAGCATACATGCACCCTACAATCCAGATTTTACCTCCCCAGTCCATTGGCTGGGTTCTGCTGTCACAGTTCATTTGGGACCTCTGGGACTGCTTGATTGTTCGATAAAATTCATGAAATCGATTGCCCTCTGCCAGCATTTGCTGTAAGCCCCTTCCTGATGCCAGCTCTGACCCCTGGGTTGATATCAGAGGTAGGCTGATAGAAACATCACAACCTCCCCTGCCTCCCCCTCCCCTGCTCTGTGTTGCTGTGAACAAACCATCTTTTGTGGTTTTAAACCATCTGTGAAGTGGTGTCCAGATGTGTCATCAGGGTGGCCCTGCATCAGGGCGGCCAGCAAGATGGCAGGTGGCTGGTGGCTCAAACTTGGCTTTGTGGGGCAGTCTCAGAGATCGTGTTCTTCCACTTTTAATATGTCTGGGATAGAATTTTATCTGTTTGTCCTATGTGACCAGATATTGAGCTACTCACTCAGGTGAATCAAACTCACAGCACACGAAGTCACCTTGTTGTTGTTCAGTCTCTTTGTGACCCCATGGACCACAGCCCGCCAGGCTCCTCACTCATGGGATTTCCCAGGCAAGAATACTAGAGTGGGTTGCCATTTCCTTCTTCAGAGGACCTTCCCGACCCAGAGATCAAATCCAGGTGTCCTGCGTCTCCTGTATGGGCAGGTAGATTCTTTACCACTGAGTTACCAGGGAAGCCCAAGTCACCTTACAGAGTGCTTATTTATTAATTCAAAATGAGCTGTGTCTCTTTCCAGTAACTGGGCCATTTATATATTCTCAGATATCAAGCCAGAAAGAAAGCTCATGGTTATTAGATTTCTTCTGTACGCAGGACATGCCAGTCACATTTACACATGTTACTTCTAGTTAATCCTCATTTCAACCCCATGAGGTGTTATCTCCATTTTAGAGATAAAGAAACCAGTATTCAAAGAGGCTGAGTAAATAGCTCAAGCTCGCAAAGCCAGTGAGAGAGAGTCAGAACCTTTCGGCTGCAATACCTGTGGGCCTCCTCCTCCTTTGACCTGGGGGGCCACAGAGTGAGACATAGAGATGAAACGGTCTCACCAGGCTCAAGTCACAGCAGAGTTCAGGAAAGGTCTCTTTCATGACCCTCAATCTGAGTCCGGAGAGAAGAGTGTGGATAGATGAAAAGCCAGGTGAGGAGTGTGGGCAGTGGGGTCAGCATGTGCAATGGCCCTGCGGTGAGGGACACGTCGGTGAGCTTGAGGAACCGTGTGGCGACAGCCCAGCCAGTACAGGTGAGTTCCACGCTAGAGACGGTATCAGAAAGACTGAGATGAAATTGCCAGTCCACAGCCAAGGTCCCCTTGAGCTAGGCTGACCCAGCTGCTGGGATCAGACTGCTTTTAGGAAGAGCAGAGAATCTATCAAAAAAGACTGGAATTTTCTTTCATGTGACACTCCAGAGTGTCTCTAATTACCTAAATATGTCTTTCAACCAGGCTTCATTCCTTGTAGTAGATGTTACCTACAGGGGATTATTTAACAGGGCTGTTATTGTTTTTCTTACAGTGCTGTATTATCTATCAAGTCCTCAGGTTTGACCAGTCACAGGACCGGGAGACCTGTGGTTCCCTACTTGAAAACCCCTTAGAATTTTTATTGTTAAAAACAACAGAAGCTTGGGCCCCAACCAAAGCTACTGAATCATCATTTTTTTTTCCCACAGACTTCACAAGCTATTCTGTAGCTGGCCTGACCACATCTCAGAAAGTCCACAGTCTGGGACAAGGTCAGTGGGAGGTCACACAACATCAGCAGTGGTGACCACAGCACAAATTTCAAGCAAGGCCAGTGTTTTCCGCCTCGTGGCAGAGATTCCAGCAGGCCAGGAAGTGTATTTTACATATGTTTGGAGTTGGCCAGCAGGTCCAAACAGACTTGTTGGCCAACCCAATAGATGCCATAGTGGTTGTTTCTTTTTCTTTCATCAAGACTGTACTCACCCATTGAATCAACTGGCCAGTGAAATTTTCAGTAAATTTTCAGTGAAATTTTCGGTAGGGGCAATGCTGAGAAATGTCCAAAGTCCTCAGGAGGCTTTTTAACTCCATTTCATTAGTTCTAAACACATTTTTTTCACATTTTAACACCTCAGGAATAGGGTTGAACCTACAAATTGATTGTATCTTAGCATTTGTTAAAGTGCAATTGAGAGTGCTTTTTCTTTCGAATGGTGTGTAAATAATGGTGCCATTTAAAATCAATAGTGTCTTCAAACTGATGAAACATAGTAGTTGATAAAGGAATAACGTATTTACCTCAACAGATAGTCAGCAGGAGCAAAGTTCATGCTCCCTCTACAGGGGTAATTCTACACCTCTGCTTCAGCAGTTTTTTTGACTCATCTATTACAACTCAATTCAAATGCCACCTCCTCCGGGAAGCCTTCTGGGTCCCCCAGTCCTGCCAACCAATCCAGATTCCAAGTCCTTCCTCTGGGCTCCCGTATTGGTCTCTAACCAATACTTATCACACGGTTACATTTATCCTGTAATTAGTCCACCCCTCCTGCAACTTGAGCACCTGGAAAGCAAAGATGTGTGTGCCTCTGTGTTTCTAGCACGTAGCACAGAGCCTGGTATGTAGTACAAGTTCAATAAATGTTTGTTGAATGAATAAGTGATTTAGGGATTGAATAGTTATAGGCACTGTACCATATGTATGCCACAAGATTGTGGGAAAAAGGCAGAGCGCAGGGCTGCAAAGGCCAGGGAGGGCTTCAGGAAGGGAATGGGTTAGGAGTTATTCGGGCAGGATGGCTGATGCAATGGCACAGGACTGCAGTGAGGAAGGAGAAAGGGGGCTGTGCTAAGACCTTCCTTTCTCTTCCTAGTAGATCTCATGATGCCTATCACTTGACTAGACTCCATGTTAGAATTTCAGGAGGCGATGGGCCTTCATTCATCATTATTCTTAATAATTAACTCTGGGGGTTAAAACAATAGAAGCCCAGGTTCAAAGAAAAGAGCAGCTCAACCCTCTGTGAGCTCTGACAGGAAGTCCTGAATGTACAGAGACTTTGTGGTTTAGACCTCAGAGCTTCCTGCCACAGCTTGACAGGGTTTAACAAGTCTAAGAAGCTGGGAGAAGGCGGGGGGGACCGGGACCGCAAACAGCGTGGTGCCAACATTGCAAACCAGGTGCCTTCTCACCATCTACTGCTTTAGAACCTTAACTGTAAACTGTGTTTTTTCTTTTTTTTCTCCCCCACTTCCCTCAAAGTACAACTAGCATGACTGCCAGCTGATGGGGGGGCCTGACCTTTTAATCATGGTCACTTAAGACCTGGGGTTTGCTTCGACCGAGCTGTGTCTCAGCCTGCCCCTTTGGCATGTTCTCTGACAGGCCCGTGGCGCCTCCAGTCTTTATGGACTCCCTCTTTTCAAGGATGGTTCTACAGATCACCATGAACATGTCTGAAGAACCAAGGAAGTGAAACTGCAAATGAGGTTATGTTTTCTGGTGCCTCTTGTTGAAGTTTGTGCATAGAGATTTCAATTCCTTATACAAATCTACCAATAGGCCGTGGGTCCAGCTTTGCACCTGGAACCTGGGGAGTGGATGTCAGTTGTTCTGGTGGGGGATTAAGGGGAACCGGTTGAATTGGGATGGCCAGATTTGGTGGCGGGGTCATACTACACCAAATAGCCTCTTTCCCATTCAGCACTAGATGACACCTGGGGTCAAGTCAAGGCTTTTATTTCACTGCTACTCCCAATACAGAGAGCAAGTGTCCACCAGGCACATAAGAAAACCAAGAGTGTCTCAAGCAGGAAGCTGCTTGTACAAGACACGGCCACAGTGACTGCTTGACATCAGACACAGGCACGTGCTCTGAGAGGGAACAGGGAGACCTCTAGGATTCTGCGCTCTATCACCCAGTCCTAATGTGCACAATTTTATTGTTTTTTCCCTTCCTGGTGAAGTGGTGATTGGGGAAGGGAGCCAGAGACTCCAGATGTCAGACCACGTGGCTGTGTTAAAAGGCACAGACTGTGGCTCACGTGGTTGAGGCTTACGGGCTGGGGAGGCGATCATGGTCTGTTTGGAGAGCACCCTTGCTGGAGGATGGAGGTGTGGGTGTGCACACCCAGAGTGGAGAAATTCCACAGTGCCTTTTATGGGAAAGGATGGGTATTCATCTCTTTTGATGAGAGAGAGGACAGCCACGACACAGAGTTAGGAGTTTTCTTCGGCGTCACTGGGAGGTTTTGTTTGAACGCGAGGCTTGGGGAGGGGAGGGCCTTTTTGCTGGTGAACTTGTGTGCCTGGTGTTGGAGGAAGCCTCTTCTGCTGGGGCTGGACACGGGGGCCAAGAGCCCGGGGACGATGAGCGGGGGGCTGAGAACGATGACCAGGTACTGGAGGAGTTTGGGACATGCCTGGATTTGCAGGAGTTGAGACTGGAATCTGGTGAGGCTTCCGGCCTCTTTCCTCAAGGGTCGCTTTCTGTGCTATTATCTCCAGCTGCTCATCTGCAAGGATCAAAGAAGAGTTCTCTGAAGAGTTCTCTTGGCAAAAATCAGGATTGGTGTAACAATATTGAGTGCACCTCCTGTGTACACCACAGCATGCTAGCTGCTCTGGGGGGGATATGATGAGAAGGCAGAAGCCACCTCTGCTCTCCAGAGATTCCAGGTCTTGAGGGGGAGGACAGAAAGACTCACAGCAAAATAGAGGGACAGCCCAGGGCGTCAGAGAACTTAGGAAGTCAGAGGCAAGGAATCCAGTAGAGAATGTGATGCCTGGATCTCCAGGGAGCAGAGAGGGCACTTAGACCCCAGTCCTGACTCTAAGTCATCCCGGGTATCACACCCTAGCGCCGCTCAGGGTCAGAGCCCTTATAATAGGATTGAGGAGTCAGAGAGGGGCTTCCCTGGTGGCTCAGATGGTAAAGAATCTGCCTCTAGTGTGGGAGACCCTGGTTCAATCCCTGGATCAAGAAGATCCCCTGGAGAAGGGTATGGCAACCCACTCCAGCATTCCTGCCTAGAGAACCCCACAGACAGAGGAGCCTGGCAGGCTACAGTCCATGGGGACGCAAAGAGTCAGACACGACTGAGTGACTAACAGACACAGTCAGAAAGAATGTTAGTAACCACCTGCCTTCAGATGGGTCTCTGTGTGAGATCCACCTTTCACCCACTTCTGTAATTCACCCACATTCTGGCGAGGGGTTGGGACATATGTAAGGGGCTGTTTAGTCCTTAGAAACATATTAGTGTCTCAGAAATTCATGAGCCAGCCCTATGCTCTTGAACTTGGAAGAAAAATTCCTCCTCTGGTCACTCACCTCTCTGGGATTTTCTGCTTTCTGTGATGGCAATCGTGAAGACAGGCCTACGACTCAGAGTAATGTCATTTTCCCTTTGCTGTTTTGAAATCAGAGAGGAAATCTTTGAGGATGCTCAGGTGCCGTAGGTCTGGAGGGCCCCGGTGGCCCCTCTGGCCCCCTTTGTGCTACAAGTCAGGTATTTCCTACCCTGAGCCCAAAGCCATCCTCACGGTGTTCTCTAGAAAGCCAGAACGAGGACGCCCTCCCTGGGGTGGCTGGCTGCTCACATCAGCACAGGGGTGCATGGTTTAGGAAACACGTGCCCTCTGAGCACCACCCTGTGACTTCAGGTGAAAGTGAAGTGAAGGTCGCTCAGTCGTGTCTGACTCTTTGTGACCCCATGGACTATACAGTCCATGAAATTCTTCTGTCCAGAATGCTGGAGTGGGTAGCCGTTCCCTCCTCCAGGGGATCTTCCTAACCCCAGGGATCAAACTCAGGTCTCCTGCATGGCAGGCGGATTCTTTTCCAGCTGAGCCACAGGGAAGCCCGAGCAGCCTCCTCCGACTGCTGGAAATCCAGGCCTTGGGTGACTCTGAACGCGAAGGCTCAAAGCCAAATGCCAGGGTTTGCTGAGGAGATGCTGGAGTGCTCTGAGCACAAAAAGTGAAACGCACAGAAAGGGAAAAACATATCTTCTGTGCCATCTCTGGTGCCTTCAGGAGGCAGAGGTGGTGCCATGAGGCCATTCAGAGGACTTTGAGTCTCAACCCCAGGTCCCAGCTATGGGGCCGTGGGAAAGCCTTTTTCCATCCTTGGACTGCAAGCTGGAGCTGGCCATTTGCTTACTACTAGTCTGGTCACCCGCTGTTTTGTTCATTTGTTTTTAGAACACTTATTCCCCATCTTCTAGGTATTAGGTACCATTGCTAAGTGCCTGTGATGGCTCAGACACAAGCACTCTTCTTAGATAGCCTAAAGTCAACAAGCGGCAGAAACCAGGACAGCAGATCACAATGTCAGTCTCTGGTAAGGGCCCAGGGCCACTAGAGAGATGCAGACAAAGAGTCCCATGAGTTCTGGGAGGAAGAGAGGGGTGTGGCCAAGGGGCTGACCCCTCAGGTTGGCTTGGACAGACAAGGTGGTCATCAAAGCTCTGTGCAGCCCACCCATGCCTGCAACTCCAGCCACGGCCCACATTGCTCCATGGCTGCATGGAATCCCTCCAGCCTCAATGTTCTCCTCCCTCACTGCATCTCCTGGTTACTCAGCACTAGGCCAGGACTAGATGAAGCAAACAGCCACCCAGAGCACAAAACTAAAGGAGGCCCTAACCCCTGGGGCTGTGCAAGGGCAGGGTCAACCCTAGAGGTAGAGGTCTTCTCAACTTTTGTATCCAGGGATCCTTGTTTACCTCACCCTTGTCCTAACTCAGCCTACTGGCCATGGTATTTGGGACAAAGCATTTAACCTCACTGAGCTTAAACTTCAGCTGAATGAATATTATCTGTCTCATATGATCATGCAGAAAGTTGGATGAGATATTGAATATAAAGCACCATATTAGGAAGTGAGGTTCAAGAGGGGATGGAACATGGGTAAACCTATGGCTGATTCATATTGATATATGGCTGAAACCAACACAACACTGTAAAGCAATTATTCCCCCAATTAAAAATAAATACGTTTTTAAAAAGCATCCCATTACAGATTAGGGTCTGGCACAGACAACTGCTTTGTCAACATGAGTTGATCATCATGTTGGTCATTTCAGCCTCATGAAAGAGCAGTTGTTTTGCCACCGGGTGGCATGTGAGGTCCAAGCATGTGATCTTTGACTCAAGCAGTGGAGCAGGAGCCTTTGCAGGGGGAATGGGGATGGAAAACTGCCCGAGTCGGGCCAAGAAGTGAGGAAACCGTGTGTGCTTATGGGACTAACAAACAGCTCTGGTCCACTGGGGTGGAGGGTGCGGGAGAAAGGGAGGTGGAAGCTTGGGCCCATGCTGGAGCAGTGGCCTGAGGGAGACCTGAGGAAAGAAGTCTAAAGTAAGGAAGATAAATCCAAAGGTGGCCCAAGGCCACCACTGCCTGGGGAGGTGCAGATCAGGTCTTTGTTTGGGCGGTTGCAGAGGCAGCTGGCCTGGGAAATGCCAGGCTCACTCCAGGGAGAGACCCCACATGGGGGGACCCAGTCCTGCTGTGAATGTGAGCTTGTGCAGAACCTGAGGACCTGTCCACCTGGCCTCACGTCCTGCTGATGACTGGACACCCCCTGCTGGACCCACCTGTAGCATCGCTCCCTAACTCCCTCATCCCAGTGTCCATAGAAACATCATTTTCTGAACACACTGCTTTGGGTGGCCTGGATGCTCCTTGAGCCAGCTCCTCACGAGCATAACATTTTCTTTCTTAGTGGGTTGTCAGGACTGATTCAAGGAAGAAACACTCACAGCCCTGACACCTCCTCTTGGAACAGTGAATTGGAAAGGGAATAGAAACACCCAGTTTTAGAACAAATGTGCTCCTGTGAGTCCCCAGTGAGTGTCCTGAAATTTTACCTGTGTTCCTAGAAGACTGGTCCTGAACCCAGCCTGGCCACCCCCGCTCAGGAGAAGACAAGATGTTGGTTCATAGACATGGTGTTTTGAAGCTAATCTTTCTATCCACATAGATACACATGGCTCATTCAAAGCATGTCCACAGAGCTTTGCACCGAGTCAGCTTCAGCTGGTGGATTCCAGTGAGGCCAACCTGGACTGAGCGTCTCAAATCTCCCCCATTGTCACCACTGAGAATCTGTTTTTCAAAACTCAAGCTAACCACAAAATGGAACAAACTAACCGCCGGTGAAGGCCCTGACATTCTGAAACTACCCATCTCCAGTCTTTTCTTTCCAGACTCTGGGTGCCAGCCCCATGAGCAGTTTCCACGGGGATTTCACCTGGGCCTGCGGTGGGACAGAAGAAGGGGGAGCTTACCATCTCTCCTGTGGCTCTGTTTTCTCCTCCTGCTGATGTAGAAGATGAGTAGTGCCACGAAGATGAGCAAGACGGTGCCTCCTACACAAATGCCGATGATGAGGTACAAATCCAGGCCTTCATCTGTAAGAGGAACAGATGCGGCATGGATGGGAGGTCCTGGGGAGAGGGACCATTTCATTGCCCTGGCCAAAGACTCAAGGACTCCTGCCTCCCATCTTATGGATGAAAGAGTTTGATGGGACTTCTCAGCCTCATGGAGGCTAAGCTTATGGAGGCTGGTGAACGGGGTCAATACCTCAAGGAGTGCAGGGTTCAAGATAAGCCCCTTTCACAAGGCTCCTTTGAGAGCTCTTCTCCTGTACCAGAAATGCCTGATTCTTTGTGAGCCAAGGCTCTGTCCCTTCTCAAGGAGGTTGTCACAGAAATTTAGATATGAGAACAAGGTTAGAGAAAATCTAACGTAATCTCTAGTTTCATGCACAAGGCCCAGAGAGGAAGGATAAGTTGCCTGAGGTCACACAGCATCCATTCCCGAGTGGTTCCTTTAAGCAGCCCCTCATCTTCATGTTTCTGCACTGTTTATCCAGCTTCATCTCTGGTTGCCCTCCTACATCATGACTGCTTTTTCCTCATTCTCATGACCAGGTAGTTCCCAAAGACAGGATCCATGTTTCATGTGTCCAGCCCAGCTCTCTAACCTTAAAGCCAGCACCCTCTCCCAGATTTTCACTGGCCTGTGAGAGAAACTCAGACACACAGTGAGTTAGCCGCAGCAGTGAACTTGATCTTCAACTCACAAACCTTCAGCTGCTATAATGCAATGAGAATAACAATGACTGTGTTAAGAGAAATCAATTTGAGTGCAGGCTTTTCTAGGTAGGAGCTGTGTGACCTTTGGCCAGTTACTTCACCTCTCTGAGCCTGTTCCTGACTTTGAAAAAATGGAGATAATGAATTTACATTACAGGTGGCTGTTGGAAGTCAATCAGATAATGGATGTGAAAGTGCTTTATAAAGTGTGAAACTACACACAAAGATGGGGGCCTGCCTTGACTACAGTTCTGGGCACTGGCACTTCTGGGAGCTGTTTCCTGAGAGGGATGCTGGGCCATCTGCCCGTTTGTGAGTCACAGTAGTCAGAGAGTCAGCAGCTGGGGCCAGGGGTCAGGGGACTCGTCCATCCTGAGAATGAACAGAGCTCAGCCCAGCATCACAAGGAAACCCTTCTCCAGCCAAACATTCTTGGGAAGATACTGTTATACATGAAGCCCAGGATGGGCCCCAGGAACAAGCTCAGAAACCAAACTAAACAGGTGTTCAGACTGCAGTGGTTTGTTAATCCTTGCTTTTCTTCCTAAGTGTCTCTCTCTCTCACCCATTCTTTGCCTGCTGGTTATATAGACTTTCTAGGCTCTGTGGATGAAGGGGCTTCCATCAGGAAAGCAGGCATAATCCTAAGCTGCTGTGAAACTGGACTGGGAAAAGCAGAAGGGCCCTTCAGTTTCTGTCTGCTTGGAGGAAGGGTCAAGGCTATCAGAATCCACCTTGGGCTCAGCCAAGGACTTCCCACGGTCTGACCTGGGGGGGGTTGGGGGCAAGCCTAGGACCAGTTGAGGAACATGGGGCTAAACCATGCAGACACCAGCTTGTCTCCTCAGAATCCTCAGACAGGACAAGCATGCCCTTATCTGGGCACACTTGGGAATGTAGGTGTGCCCCACACGGTCTGTTCACAGATTTGTCCAGCATGGCCTCTGGGTGCTTTCTGTGGGGAAGTTTCCAGCATGTCTCAGAGGTAGCTATGTCCTTACAGTCACTGAATCCAGCCACGCTCCTTCCTGCACTCCCTCTCAGAGATAATATGCCCATGAATTCATGACGTAGAGTCCTTTCTCGTGTCCAAACCTGCTCCCTCCTCCTCCTATTTTGATTTTAAGTACATGCTTATCTGTTTTGAGCCAAGTGGTTAATCGTGTCATTGCTCCTCTCTGCCTTGGCCTTTTAGGATGATGCATCCAGAGCCACTTTAGGGTCTTCAAGAGCAAACTTGTCCTCCCCAGACTTGCCCTAGGTATTCCTCCCATCTCTCTAGTGCCCCTTCCCCCAGCTGGCTCCCCCAACTCTGCACCACAGGGAGGTGACAGGAAGGTTCCAGTCTTCGAACCCCAGCTCCCCCCAAAAGCCCTTCCTCTCTTCCTCCATCCATAATGCACACACATTTTTATACTGCTGGGATCTAGTTAAAATACACATGAAGTAGCATTACCCGATAAAATACAGGAGATGACTAGTTAAATTAGAAATAAACAATGAATAATGTTTTAGTATAAGGGTGTCCCATGCAACATTTGGAGCACACTTATACTGTCTTTTTAGGGACTTCCTTGCCAATCCAGTGGTTAAAACTCTGTGCTTCCAATGCAGGAGGTGTGGGGTCAATCCCTGGTTGGGGAGCTAAGATCCTGCATGCCACACAGAGTGACAAAAAAAAAATTATTTACACTGTTTTTTGTTATTGTTTTTTTCAATTTGCTAAATCTGGCAACTCTAATTAAGAGAATCCTGAAAGGGGATAAGAGCTTGTGAAGTCGAGGAGGGGCTACCTCAGTCACTGTGCCTTAGTGAGGGGCGGGCATGGAGGGATGGCTGGGAGGCAGAGATTTCATAGGAGGTGACGTGACGCTGGTCTGAGCACGTGACTTGTGGCCTCTAGGACGGTCCCCACTGAGCCCCGCCTCCTGAGATTTCTACCTGTGTGCGACCCCTTCTGATTAAATGCGGGCCGGGCTTACTGAGCGGCTCCTGCATGAAGAGAGCACAGCAGCAGTGATGGGACCCGAGGCCAAAGACCGGGCTTTTGCGCCGGGTCCTTACTGTTGCTCTTTCTCAAGGGGCTCTGAGGGAAGTGGCTGCCATATTGTGAGGCAGCCGGATGCCCGCCATGAGTAAACTTGGAAATGGGTCCTCCCTCAGCAGTGCTTCTACCTGACTGACATGACTGCACCCCTGCTGGAACCTTGATGATAGCTGCATGAATGACTCTGAGCCAGAACCATCAGCTAGGCCAGTCCCAGATTCAATGTCTCACAGAAACCGTGAGATTACTATCTTCAACACTGTTTGCTGTTTTAAGCCACTAAATATGGGGTCATTTGTTACACAACTGATAACTAATTCAAAGTATATATTAAAGTCTTACTTCTGACTTCACACCAGCTCAGGGTTGCTTCCTAGGATAACTGACCAGCCAAAATTGCTATAGAAACTAAGGAAATCTGGCCAGATCACTGTTTCTTTCTTTTTTTTTTTTTTTCGGTTTCCTTTCAGAGGATTGACCAGACAGCACTGGAAAGATAATCGTGGAATATTAGATGAGTAGATTCTTGGGGATCACAGGGCTTATCTTCTTTGTGGCCCAGGAGGCTGAAGCCCAGAAAGAGGAAGGAATTCTGTCCAGCCCATCCCGGTACATTTAGACAGACCAAAACTAGAAGTCCAGACCCCAGTCTCCCAGGCCAGAGCAGGCCATCTTTCAAAAATTACTTTTGGGGGTCATGTCAAGTTGGGGACCAGGAAAGAACTTAGACCCTTGAGATTTCAGAACTTTCTGTGCTGAGCGCTCTGCTCTGAGGCAGTAAGAGCATTGCCCACCTGGGTTCACAGTCCTCCCCGGCCTCAAGCTTGTCCTCTCTCCAAGTCCTTCACTTCCTGAGTTTCTAGAAGGAGCCCTTCTGCTCCTGTCTCTGATAGGAGGTGCTGACCATCGCCCCTCCAGAGAGGAATCTTTCTTGCTCCCTTCTCCATCATTGCCCTGGGGTCACAGTCATGCTCCCTGACTAGCTGAGAGACTGTAGGCAAGTCAGTTTGCCTCTCTGCCAAGGGGCAGTCTGTATGAGATAACCATTTCAGCTCCTTTTATCTCTGCAACTCAGCAATTCTTTCTCCTAGAAGAGCACCTTTTTAATTACCTGAGGTTAGACCATGCTCTGTGAGAAGAATCCCAAGATGGGTAAGCATAGAACACTACCTCCTCTCTCCTCTAAGCCTTCCCTTGGAGATTTCCAGGAGAAAGAGGGGTGTTTTCAGTTCTCACCCTGAGCCTAAGCGGCCTCCCAGGCCAGGCACCCAAGCCCTGGAGCAGTCCTTGCCTGTTCGGCCGTAAAGGCTGGACTGTGATGTGAACTTGTGGCGCCTGATCAGTGCCCACCACGCACCTGGACACGTGACGGTCACCATGCTGACTTTGTTATCGACATGGTTATGTGCCATGCACTTGAATGTTTTATTCCATTTGGTGTTCCACTTGTAGGTGATGAGCCTCTGATGACCTTGTTGGACAGTGCTCTTATTTAAAAACAGTTCTAATTTAGGATCACTTCCGTTTTCTACCTTGCAGCTCACAGTTCTGTTGGTACAGGTCCAGTTAATTTCAGGTCCTGAGAGCATCTCTGAAAAGAAAAGAAAGATCCAACTCAAGTCAGGCAACTTACTGATTGTAGAAGATATACCTATTTAGAGAGGGGAAATGGAGTTAGTTGGGGACCAGGAAACAATTTCAAAGATCCCTAGCAATTTTTAAAATATCATTTCTATTCTATGTTATTTATACAGCACATTCAGAATAAATTTATTTCTGATAATTATAGATATATCAGTAAAATATACATCATATTCTCAGACGGTAAAGTGTCTACCTGCAATGTGGGACACCTGGGTTTGATCCCTGGGTTGGGAAGATCTTCTAGAGAAGGAAATGGCAACCCACTCTGGTACTCTTGCCTAGAAAATTCCATGGATGGAGGAGCCTGGTGGGCTACAGTCCACGGAGTCACAAAGAGTCAGACATGACTGAGCGACTTCACTTTTTTCTTTCTTTATACCTTAAAATGCTTTCACGTATATGATATCATTTCATCCTAACAAACAGAGAAGATGATGTTTTTCTTCCTGTTTATAGATGAAGTACCCAAGGGTCTGGGAGGGTTAAATGGATGGTCCAAAGGTACCCACTAACAAATGGCAAATCGGGAGAGGAGCTCACCCTCCCAAATTCAAGTTCAGTCATACGGTTAAGAGGTTTACCATGTCCTGACCCCCACACGGCACAGGAGTCTGTGGGGGGATGGTGGGTTGGGAGAAATGCTTTAAGAGCAACTGGGAACCTGACCCTGGAGGAACTGGTATGTGTGTAGCCTGGGGCCTTGGTCACAAATGGAAGCTCCCTCCTCCTTTCCCCGGCATATCCTGGGAGCAGTGGTGCTGCTCAAGCTCTGGACAGACAGAGCCCCTTCATCCTCCCAGAGCTGCCGGGCCACTCCCCACACCTCACTGGTCCTCACCCACAGATAAGGATGAGAAAGACGTTCCCCACCTGTACAGCAGGAATGACAGGTGACAAAGCCCTGGCACATGAATAGGCTCTGGCAATACTGGTGGTAGGGCTTCCCAGGAGGCACAGTGGTAAAGAACCCACCTGCCAAAACAGCAGGCACAAGAGACATAGGTCGATCCCTGGGTAGGGAAGATCCCCTGGAGTAGGAAGTGGCGCCCCACTCTAGTATTCTTTCCTGGAAAATTCCATGGACAGAGGAGACTGGTGGGCTTCAGTCTATGGGGTTGCAAAGAGTTGGACATAACTGAGCAACTGAGCACACACAATACTGATGGTGGCTGTTATAATCACACACGCCTGCCTCTCCTTTTCTGACATGCTAATATTCGAAGGCTGTGTCATGAAAGAAAAAGCCCTGGCCTTGGAGTCATTTGGACCGGATTCAAATCGTATTCCACCACTTGTGAGCTGTGACCAAATTCTGCCCTTTTTCTCACCCTGCCTTCCCTTCCTTTCCTCAGATTTGCCCCCTTTCTCTCTCAGCATCCTTCCATTCATCATGCTTTTTTTTTTTCCTTAATGATTTCCTCCCTCCCTGACTCCCAGACAATCATATCTTCCCCATGAACTTTCTCACCAAATTTCATTTCTGTCCCAGAATATAGGTATGCAGAAATTAAGTGTTTTCCCATCCAGAGATTCAGTGTGACCCCAAATGAAGAGGGTGGAAAAACATCACCGTACACCAAGACAGGGTCAGTGCATGCTCTAGGAGTTGAGTTGAGGAGTTTGTCTGTGTTTTCAAAATGGAAATACTCCTTTTTTTTTTTTCTATTTATAAATCTACATGTTGCTGTGCAGTTGAAACCAACACAGTATTGTAAAGCAATTATCCTTCAATTAAAAATATGAGTAAAAAAAGCATACAAGTAAATCACATCACTATAAAAATTGATGAAATATCAAAAAAGTTTCAAGAAGATTAAAAATCACTTACAATTCTATCACGCAGAGTCAATAATTACTAATGTTTCAATGCATCTAACAAATGTTTTCTATGCATGCATACCATATATAAATAATGTTCTAAAAAATAAAATTGGATCATATGATTTTTTAGTCTGCCTTTTTCCCTTTACTGATCTATTATGAAATTCTTTACTTTACGAACACCAATAAATATACATCTCCACCATCTTTTTTTAATGATGTATTCTTGATTTTAAGGGCTTCCCTGGTGGCTCAGTGGTAAAGAATCCGCCTGCCAATGCAGGAGACGCAAGCTCCATCTCTGCGTCGAGAGGATCCCGTGGAGGAGGAAATGGCAACCCGCTCCAGTATTCTTGCTGGGAAAACCCCATGGACAGAGGAGCCTAGCAGCCCATGGGATCACAGAGTCGGAAAGGACTGAGTGACTGAGCGTGCATGCATTCTTGATTTAATCAGTAAGTTTCTAACTGCCGGGGACTTTAAGGTCTTTCCAGTATTTCACTGACATAAACCACCCAGCTATGTGCAGCCACTTGAAAGCATATCTTTGTATACACGGTCTCTGTAAGACAGCTTTGTACAAGAGGCATGATTATATCGAGTGAGGGTACATCTCATAGATGAACGCTCTCTGTTTCCAGGTTGCTAGGATGATCTTCTCCACTAACATCTGCTTTTAAGGGGACTTCCTCAGCTAATGGCAGCAGCCCCCTCATTAAGGAGTTGTGGGTACCAAGATTGGAAACAGAGAAGCTTGAAGGAACAAAGAGATGGAGAGAACTCTAGCCCTGAGGAAACAGGTACTGTGTCCCAGGGGCCTGAGGCACCTATGGTTAGGTTTCCCTGAAGCCTTGTCCCATGAATACCCCATAGGGTCATGATTATGAAAATCAGACTCAGAGCAGATAGAGAATTTGCCCAAGGCCATGTGGCAAGAAATGGTGACTGGATCACAAATTGACATGCTGTGTAACATTTACACACACACACGAGACGGCAGTTGTGTCATGGAAAGATCTCTGTCTTTTGGCAAAAGAGTGAGAATTTATTTTTGAGGCTGTGAAAACATTCTAAAATTGATTGCCGGTTTGGTTGTACAACTCTGTAAATACACTACAAGCCATGGAATCATATACTTTAAATGGGTGGATTTTATGGTATGTGCATTATATCTCAATAAAGCTGATGGGGTAGGCGTGGGTCGGGGCAGGGTGAGGGCAGAATGTCAGCATCCTTGCTAAAACCAGCCTTGGGTTTGGATCCTGACTTTGCCCCAGTCAGACCTCTACCTGTGTCCTCATAGTTGATAAGGGAAAAGCTACCTCTCAGGATTGTTGGGAACCTTAAGTAAGAGCATGTAGCAAAGTACATGACACATCATCGGTAGCCATCATTACCCAGGCAATACTAAATGATACATGAATGCGAAGCTCAAGTTTAAAACAGAATACTTGGCCAAAGTTATGACATCTGTGGTTCCCAGAGCCCACAACAGAGGCCCTTTCTGGCTGCATCTATCTCACCCCATTTCTGAGCTGTACTCTGTATTCTGGTGCCGGACTAGGTGTGGAAAGTTGTCATCTGCGGGGAGGGGGCGGGGGCTGCCAATGTCTGTGAGTGTTGCGGGTGGGGGCTGCTACCAGGTCCGCGTGCTCAAGAGCAGGGCTGGAGGGTGACTTTACGTAGGAGGAGGGGGCCCTTCCTTTGGCAGCATTTCCTGTCTCAGGCACGGAAATGCTTATTTGCTCACTGAATCTCTGGCTTGTGTTCAGGCTCAGGTTCCTATCTTCTTCTCCAAGCAAAGTTCAGCTTCTTCTTCTACTGTTATCCATGCCCTGCCAAGTGACCCCTGGACTTGCAACTGCAATGTCATTTCAATTCTACTTTCTTGTCCCTCTCTCTCAAACTCAAGCCACTTTGTTCATCCTTTTTCTACACATGACCCTCAGTGGAAGCATGCTTCAGGCACTTGATAGGCACCCTTTGGTCTAGGCCACTGGTTATCAGCTTTGGCTGTGCTTTAAAATCACCTGGGGAAGAGGGAGGTGGGAGAGGGGACCGGGATGGGGAATACATGTAAATCCATGGCTAATTCATTTCAATGTATGACAAAACCCACTGCAATGATGTAAGTAGCCTCCAACTAATAAAAATAAATGGAAAAAATAAAAATAAATAAAAAAATAAAAATAAATAAAGAAAAATGAAAAAAAAAAAAAAGAAAGAAACAATCACCTGGGGAGTTTAGAGCCAACAATGCCCAGGCCCTGAGCCAAGAAACTCTGATTTAATTGGTCTGGGATGGGACTTAGTACTGGTAAATTTTACTGTACCTCAGCTGATTCCAACATGAAGCCTGAATTAACACTCACCAGCCAGCCCCTTCCTGCTTCCCCTGGATTAAAGCAGCAGCTCCCTGTCCAGTCTTCCATCTTTCATCTCCCACAGTTACTACTGCTAACCCAGTACATGCATAGACAGACAGAGCCACACCTTGTGTATTTTCTACAGATACCAGCAAAAACACCTTCTACCTTTGATCATGCTAATGTTGAGCAGATTAGAAACCACTCATCCTTTAATGCATTATTCCTTTCCTGCCTTACCACCACTCCTTCAGGACATCAGGGCTTGAAATTGTCTCTCTGGACAGAAGACCCACTGCCCTTCAATCAGCCTCCCCTTCCTAGCCCCAAAGCTTATCCTTCATCATCCACCTGAAATGGCCACCTTTTTCCCCTTCTGCCCACTGATTCCCCTCCTCCTAATTAATGCCATCTCAGTCTAGATCCTTCACTCAAACCAGCATCCCCACCACCTCTGGAGAGTTGAAGTGTGTAGACATGAGGGTCTATTAGCTGTGGAGTCTATCTCTCCCACAAGACTGGAGCTTGCATCGAGGCAGGAGGAATGCATTCAGTTTCCTTTAGGGCTCCCCAAGGCCAACATCTGGGCTGGGGACCTTGCATAAATGTTACTCTTTGGCTTGCTAAATAGCACCCATTTTGAGATGGAGGAATTTAGGGGTCAAAGACTTACCTTGAATCTTCAAATCAAAGGTTTTGCTCAGTAGGTTTACTCCATTTGAATTATATACCCCTACCTTATAGAGATCACTATCGTTTCTCGTCAGAGTTTTAATTTTCAGAGTTCCATTTGTAAACATATCATATTTGTCCATTTGGTCGTAAAGTGGCTTGTCTTTCCTGATTCGTGCAATCTTCTCTTTGTTTTTGTTCCATTGTATATCTGCTACCATATCACTCCTTTGAAAACCAGGAATGTCCAGGATGAGGTCATGATCCAGGGCACCCCAGACGACAGTGCTTTCAGGGTCTTCACCTACAAAAAGCAAGACAGTTGCTGAGGTGACTTGCTACCAAGGAAAAGCAGGGCTGTGACCTTTCTGACTTTTACGCTCAGTTCAGGGTCTCCAACAGAGCTTCTAACAGTGAGAGTGAAGAGCCTCACACCAACTTACCTTTGGTGGGAACAGTGAAAATCAGAAGGAAGCTGGCTAAGATTTCACATGCGAGGTTCATCTTTGGGGATCGTTTCCTTCTGTGATTCTGTGCTCTTCTTGCAAAAGGAACTCAAGTAGCATCAGTGGAATCCACCCCCTGTGAGCTTAACCACGTGCCTCTCTTTCTTGCTTCTTTACAGTAACATAGAAAACAGACGTACACACACACACTCACACACAAGCACATGCAATTCAGAAAACCAACCTGGCTGAGGTACTTCTTTGCCAAGCAGGGCAAGTGAGTGTGTCTTCTTATCATGTTTTAGTCCTCCCAGCAGCCTTGGGTGGGTTTTATTATGCTCGTCAAAGAGAAGAGGAACTAACAGGCTAAGTAAGCCACTTAGAATCACCCTTCAGTTGACAAGGAGCCAGATTCAACCTTACGGCACGCCTTCTATGCCCTCTACTGCAGTATATGTGAAAAATTATTACTATTGAAATAGATAAATTATTCCTATCAATCAATAAGACAAATGAAATTTGGTTTTTAAAATGAACAAAGAATACAAACAAGCAATTTATAGAAGAAATACATTACAGAAAAAATGTCAATAAATGTATGAGAAGACATCTAACGCTACAGATATATATATATAACAGCTATTATACGTAAGCCATAAAACACCATCTTCACATTCAAATTGGCAAAGTTAGAAAAGATAGTGATTTACATTATTGATGGGAATGTCGGGAGAAGCAGGCACCTTCATATAATACTTGAAGGAGTGTAAAGTATACTTCCCATGGGTGGGACTTGCAGTTTCCACTAAACGTTAAAATATACATATATATATATATATATATATATATATATATATATATATTTTACTTAGTAATTTTAATTTGAGAAACCTATCTTTCAAAGATACTTGAATAAATGTGAAAAAATTCTGTCCAAGGATATTTGTTATAGCTTTTTTGGTAATAAAAATTTTCAAACAACTAAAATTGTGGTATATTCATATGATGAAATATTGGTTGAGTTAAAATAGAAAGAAGTAGCCCTAAGAGCATATTCTATGTTATATTGTATTGTATTATACTATAATAGTGTAGACATAGGAAGAAATCTGTAAAGACTCATGCCAAACTTTTCACAGCACTTGCCTTTCAGGACTTGGATTTGGAGGAGGCAAAAAGGAAACTTTCACTATTTTAGCAACTTTGGTGAAGTTAGAAATTTTGATAATGAACATATTCCTTCTGTAATAAAAAGTGTTTTTAATAAAGGGTGCTTAAAACACATCTGTTCTAAAGCATATGCAGATCCTGAGAAACAATTTGCCTCTAGCTCCCTTAGCTGTAAGCGGCTCACCCACTAGTCAGCTGCCAACCACAGCCTCCCAAGTCCTGGTCCAGACAACATGGTGATGGCCATGGTTCTCCCTGCCTTGGCCTTTCTGATAATTTTCCTAAGCTCTCATGGGACAAATGGAGAGCAGATGTCTGTTCTCTCTGAAATATTAATCAATCCTGCTCCTCTCACATCTCATTTAATTCTTTTTTTTTTCTTCAAACTTCAAATGTTTTATTTTGTGTTGGGGTATAGCTGATCAACAATGTCATCATAGTTTCAGGTGAATAGCAAAGGGACTTAGCCATACATATACCTGTATCCGTTCTCCCCCAAACTCCCCTCCCTTCCAGGTTGCCACATAACACTGCCATCTCACTTAATTCTGAATGTTGAAGGAGCACGACTTCAAGGACAGAAACTGAAAAAGAAAAGGATCAATAAATCTATGTAAAATTTAAAACCTTTGTACATGAAAAGCCCTAAGAAACATTAAAAGACAAAGTATTGACAGAGGCAAATTATTTGCATGATATATAGCAAAGGTTAATATCTTTGAAATCAAATTTTTCATGTAAATGTAGAAAGAAAAGATAGACACCTTGATACTAAACTGGGCCATGGTCATCAAAGGACAATTCACCAAAAAAGAAGCACGATTGAATAAACCTATGAAAATGGAGTTGACTTATTAATAAGCAAAGGAATATAAATTTTAACAAAGGTGTATTTCCATCTTTTACTTAAAAATGAAAATATACAATGTCGATGATGGTAAAAACAGACATTCTTGAATATGGACAGTAGAAACACAAGGAGATGTAGAGTTCCTGGTAGACAATTTCTCAGTGTGAATTAGAAGCATCAAAAATATTCATATTTTGACCTAGCAAGTCCACAAGAATGATTTTATCTTAAGGAAATAATAAAAGACTTACAAGACTTGGCTAAAATTTATACCTTGTAGAATTTTTTATAACTCAGAATTGCAGATGATTTAAATATCTGAAAGGAGGAAATCTGTTAAACAAATCATGATATGAACCAACTAAACATGAGGAGAAAAAGATTACAATAAACAATATAATCCTATTTTTGTTTCTTAAAAAGCATTGTTTGTGTATCTTTTGGAAGAACATTCACTAGGGTGTTGGTCTCTGAGTGGTAGGATAATGCCTATTGTTCTGTTGTTCTTGGCTGTTGCTATTCTGACATCTCTAAATTGAACATATATTGCTTTTCAATTGATCTCTTTTTCATTATAAGTAGACCTTCTGCTTAGGTAAAAAATCCCAGGACTGAAGATGGGTACAGTTCCTGCCCTTGTATGTGTGAGTTTCCAGGGCAAATCTGCCGATGACTAATTCCAAATTTTCCCTCTGCATCCTCACTGCCCTCTGGGAGCTGTCTCTTGTTTTATCTTCACTGACTTTTCTTATCTAAACTAATACTCCTGGGGAAATAGTCAAAGAGAGCAAGAAGCAGGTGAAGGGGTGGAAGGCATTTTCACAGATCTATCCCTGGCTAGCGAAATACCTTCGGTCCCTGCTCCTGCCGTCCCTGCAATGTGTCAAGGGCACGCTCTCGGAGAGAATCAGATTCTGTTAACACTTCGGCAGTTCACACCCAACCGCACGTCCTGAATTGTCAGACATTAGAGCGGCGGGAAATTCAGGAAGTGATCTGGTCTCCTCTCCGCATTTCAGTTGAGGGTCTCGAGCCCATGGAGTTTCTAGGGTGTTCCTGTCCCCCTTGTCCGAGTCAGCAGCCTAATCCCCAGGCTCTGGGACAGTCTCTGCTTCCTACTTCAGGGTCATCTTTGCCTCTCACCCTTCATGTGCCCCCTCAACTTAGGAGTGACTAAGTCCAGCTTTGCCTTCCTACTTCACATCCGTCTCTTCTCTTTGGTACCTCGGCTTGTGCCCTCATTATACCTTCCCACCAGCTCAGGTGAGACATGCGAAACAGGAGGCAAGCAGGTAGCTGCTGCTGCTGCTAAGTCACTTCAGTCGTGTCTGACTCTGTGCGACCCCATAGACGGCAGCCCACCAGGCTCCGCCGTCCCTGGGATTCTCCAGACAAGAACACTGGAGTGGGGTGCCATTTCCTTCTCCAATGCATGAAGGTGAAAAGTGAAAGTGAAGTCGCTCAGTCATGTCCGACTCTTAGTGACCCCATGGACTGCAGCCCACCAGGCTCCCCCGTCCCTGGGATTCTCCAGGCAAGAGTACTGGCGTGGGGTGCCATTGCCTTCTCCGAAGCATTTTATACTAAAACTTGAGTATGTTGTGGCTTCAGTGCTGATGAGAAAGGCCACGTGTGTGAGTGTCTGCAGCCTGGTCCCGTTGATACTTGGCCTCACATTAGCATTGCATGAGCATCAGTGCACAGCTATGCTCACTGCCAGGCAGCGACTGGGTGTTCAGTCAAAGGCAGCCTCATGTAATCAGCCACCCATGTATGTTCCAAGGTGGGAGACCTCCGAATCTGAGCACCAAGTCCATCGCCCAATGTTATTTCCTCTGGGGCGAAAACTTGAGTTTCCTTTTCCTTCTGTATTTCCCACCCACGCAGCAGACAGGAGAAAATCAGCCCACGGAAACAGTTCCTGTGTGAAATCTGGATGCCTGAAATGAGAGTCATTGAGACTGGAAGTCCCCCAGGGGGGTAAATTGCTCTGAGAGAAGATGGAATACACGTGTTGTCACTAGCCGTATAATCATGTGATTACAGAGAAGCGAGTTTTGAGCCAAACCAAGCCGGCCCACGTGTACCAGTTATACAGATCCAGGCAGATAGGTCCCGCTGGTGAGCCTCAGTTTCCACATTCTCAAGCTGACTGAGTCAGATGAAGTGATGGGTGTCGGGCATCTAGGGCAGTGTCTGGCCCCTAGCAGACCCTCAACAAACATTAGCTTTCTTTCCTGTCTGCCATTACGCTCTGGATAAGGGGCCTACTTAAGAGAATAAGGGAAGGGACAACATCAAGACACTTTGCCTTCAGAAAAAAGTCCCGAAAGCTGGAAGCTCCCAGGGCTTCTGAACACTTTCCAACAAGAAATCAGGGGACTTAAGACTGAGAAGACCTAGGAAACTATGATTTTTTTAGGGCACGTGTTGCTTTTCACTGCTTTTTATTTTTGTAGCCTTCTTTCCTGTATTTATTTCTCGGGGTTGCTTAGCTGGATCGCCAGCAGGGCCTGTGAGCTTGTGAACTAAGCGGTGAAACAGCCCTTCTCAGCTGCTAGGCTTGGGGACACGAGCCCAGGTCACAAGAAGCTGGTGCCGGCTGGAGAACAGAGGAAAACAGACTGAGGGCCAGCACTTGAGGAGAGCAGGAAGGAGACCCCAGCTGGCTGAGCCCTGAGAAGGGTCCACAGTGGCTGGAAGTCCATACAACTCTCCAACAAACAGCAAAACACAGCAAATGCTGGTGGCATGAAGAGCTGAATAGGGAAGGTGAAAGAAGGGGTGATGTGCTTGGATTCGAGCTGGAAAACCCAGTTTAAAGACAGTTCTGACTTTGCCTACTTGCTAGCTGCGTGCTCCACACAGTCCCTCTTTGAGCCTCAGTTTCAATGAGTCTGAAATGGCAAGGAGGGGGAGGGGCAGTCATTCCGCTTGCTCAATTTTGCTCAAAAGGTTGTGCTGAGGGCCAGATAAGGTAACCAATGAAAATCTTACACGTGATGGTGAAAGTGGCCATCAAAATCTTATGGGGATCT